CCGCCCGCCAGTTCTTTCCATTTCTCGCATTCATTCGTCAGGAATCGCAACCCGCGACTCTCTCGTTGGGCTAATCTAGTCAATTTGGAAATCTCGTTTCGCGCTGTCGGCAGCGTAGGCGGAAAGTCGCGCGTCGAATCGCGCTCGGTTCCTCGCGAAGCGGATCGTGTGTGTGTGTGTGTGTATGTGTGTGTGTGTGTGACGCACAATGTCCGCGCGAATTTCAGGGAGAAAGGGAGAAAACCGAGCATGAGGCGACGCGCGAATGCACATCCGCGCGGCATCATCATTACCTTCGTATCATTACGAGCAATCACACTGCGACACTGGCTGGCGTTAAATCTGGACCCGACTGGTCGACTAAACTGCCCGATCTCGAAGATCTCCACGTTCGCATGGTGCGCGCGAGCGATCGTTTTCTCTTTTCACGGGTGCCGAAAGTAATTATCCGTCGTCCGGCAATGTTTCCCCTCGCTCGCCAATCGCGACGGCCGCGTGTCGTCCCGCCTTCCGTCTCGTCATCCACGGGAACTGTTCGACGTAATCAGGGGTAGAAGAGCCGACGGAGGGAGAAAGAGAGGGATGGACGAGCGTTGAGAGGAAAACGGGCCGCGACATCCCGGTCCTAGGAAGAGCTAAATTTCATCATCGTTGTGATAACGTACGTTAGCGAATAAACGCCACACTATTTAACCAGTAACCAGTTACTACCGCTGTATATAATAAACACACATAGTACCTTTCAGTGTAAACGCGTAATTATATCGAGTAAGCTCTCCACCAGCGCGGCCGACGCGCGATTACGTGTAACGGCGATTAGTTTTGTAAAACGAGAAGAGACGAGGGCCGAAGGAGGAGGAATAGGAGAAGGAGGAAGGGGGAGGCTCTCCCGGGTGTATTATAGCCGGGTTGAGAAGAGCGATGTGCATCATCGTCGCGACGACGGCAGCTAGAAAGAAATGCAATCTTAGTTTAAGGGGAGGGAGCAGCCTCGACAGCTTGGCAAGGCTGAAGGGAGAGTGACGGTCGGGCGATCGGTATAGATTGACGAGCGGCGAACGAGTGGATCGACCAGCGAATCAAAGCGACGGCGTCTCGCGCTAGATAAATGAGAATAGATAGATTTTATTTATTGTTTCCTAGGAACCCCACATACACGGCACACAGGCGTACGCATGTGACGCGTGCACAACAGATCGCACACACACACGTACAAAACACACACACACACACACACACACACACATCGTACCAGAGCGGCCAGTAGCGGGCACTGCCGCGAGTAACTTCCTCCTTTAGACTTGTAAAATCGCGTTGTCGTTTTCACGTGGAATAAATAAATTGGCGTCGAAGCCGGGCCCTCCCGTGCGACCGTACGGTGGGCGAATCATGTTTCCGGATGAGAATCGGCGATCGGACGGCAGCAGCGCGCGAGCTCCTCCCGCGATTTTGGTTGTACATATACTTTATTTTCGTATATCTACGTATACATATGAATATATATATATATATATATATATATAAAAATATATATATATAAATATAAATAAAAAGTAATTTGTCTGCGTGCGCGCCCCGATGTCGCGGCGCGCCGGGACATTCCTCGGGATATACGCGCACGTACGCGTGTACATGTGAACGGAGAGAGAGACGAGGAGACGCGTTTTTCTATGAGCCTTCGATCCTACGTTTTGCATTTCCGCCTACCGCGCGAGAGCGAGCGAAGTTCCCCCCTTCTCCCCCATTCGCGACACACGACGAACCCACTACTACTACGCATTAAGGGCGAACGAGATTTACAATTGTAATTATGTATAAACCGAATGCTACGATGTATATTATAGATCGATTATAAAGAACACTCATCATTATGAAAATAAATACCTATCAAGACAAATTGCACTCCTCTTTTCTTTTCTTCAGCGGACGCGTCTTCCTCCCTTTTTCTCCCTTTCACCTCTCGGTATAGCGGAACAGCGTCTAAGTCGAATACTCTTCCCGCGGTGGTCGATGTTCATCTCTAAAAAGGGGATCGATGGATCCGACGTCTCGATTAAAAATTAAGGCACCTGAGCAGACAGTGTTTTGATAAATAACGTGACTGTTGACCGATCGAGATTGATTAAAGACAGCAGGGCAGCCGGGGTCGCTCGAGCTTTCGGAACGCCGAACGGATACGTCCGCGCGCGCAAAAATGAAAGAACCTCACCACGCCCACGCTGTAACGCGGGTCGACCTCGTTTTCGCGGAAAGAAGATCCTCCGCTCGCCCAGCGACGCTCGCCGGATCGTTTATCAGAGGATCTCGCGGGCGTGCACCGTGCACGCCTACTAATCCGCGGGCCTCGCAAGGAAGAGGATCTCCACCACGGAAGGGTTGTTCTGGTCTGGACGCTGAAGAATCACACTCGCAATACAAGGACGGAATATGAGTTTCACGGGGCGTTACAGCTGGACGATTAGCTCGCACGGCAAAGCGGTTTTCTCGTTCGAGGTAAATATAACGATCTCTCGGTATGATTGAAAGCATACGTAAAGCATTTTACGTAGAGAATAAAGTAAGCCAATTTATATCTCGCGCTTTACTTTAATTAAATAATTATCTCATTCATTCTTATCATTCACGACGTCTTATGCGAATAATTCATTATTTCTCATTACGACTTTCAATAGAATTAATCAATTTTTATATCCGTTGCATTGACCAATCAAGTAATGATTTATTTTACAAGTATACAATTATGGAAATTAGTGTTTTAGATATTGCAACTAAAGACACAAGAAGCACTTTTATTCCGCGTCGAAGGTTCCATTTTTATTTATTCCGAGTTTTATTCATTCTTATTTAAAGACTAAAATGTGTCCAGATGTTGGTGCACTTTTGTCTTCGTCGCTATGACGCGTGGATTATACATATGGATTATACATATGCAAGTATACGGGCACGGAACGTGGAATATTCAAGAGAACGCCGCAACTTATTAATACCCACCATTATTATTTAGTCGTCGAAGCCGTAAAGAGCGGCAGTCGAGATCGCTTGCCGATAAACCCGCCGTCACTGCGCTAATTCTCGTCGCACAGGCGAAACGGCGGACTGACACCGTCAGGCGGGCCACGGTAATTAGAAGTGTCCCGTGTGCGGGTCCACTCGAGCGAGACGCATAATTACACGTAAGTTGAGCGGGCCCCCTCGTCCCCCCTCCGGAGCGAGAAGGCGTGCGAGAAGACCCGAGCCACCACCCCGTGTCCCCCCTGGACGGACCCCGGCCTTTAATCGGCCAGGCAGATTAGATTAGGACCTTCGATTCTCGCGCTAACTTACGGTCCCGACCGGGTTAATAACGGGTGCACGTGAAATCGAGCCCCGGCCCGAGCGGTCATCCGCGACTCTCACGAGGTTGCATCTCCCGAATATCAAGTGCAGCGCGCATCAATTGCGCGGCCGCGTGTAACGATCTCCCTTACTTCGATAACGTGAATTCGCACAAGCTGAGCGTAATTATCGAGGAGTAATTGAGGGTAATAATTTGCCAACCCATTCGACTACGATATCCTCTACACGAGAGTCCTTTTCGCATCCGAAAAGAAAAGAACCGATTTCTTCGCAAACCTTTCGTGTTTTATCTCGCTGAAGCTCCCAGGCGAGGCTTGCTCGGTGTGTCTCTGCGAATCAACCACCTTCTCTCTCCTCGTCCTCCTCGTTCGTTTCCTCCCTCCACCTCTTTTCCTTCCCTCTCGTTCGTAAACGTGTACGTAGCACCGACGTACGCGAGATAAATGGATTTAGCGTGGCTTCGACCTTACCGAGTACGTGCGCTCGCCCGGCTAGAGCTTTATTCTACCACCTCTCTCGGCGCTCTCGTGCGCACGACAGGTGCAGCGTGGGAGAACGAGGGTGGGAAGGTGGAGGTAAGTTGCACGCTTCGTAGGGAGCTCGGCCACGAGGAGGGCGGCAGTGGGAGGGGGAGGGAGGCCAGGAGACAGGGAGAAGGAAGGCAAAAAGGAGAAAACGTCGGAGAGAGAAGGCGGTCTCCCGGTTAACGTCGGCTCGCCCATCGATTCCCCCCGCGCAACCCCGGTCCATCGCGGCCGACAACGCCGGGGTCTCACCGTCGCTCTCGCGTAGTCACTTTAGGCCGGATAGATCGCGATCGGCGACAGCGAAATCCGCGGTGATATTGCTGACGCGAAAGAAATGAACTAATCGGGCGACCTCGTGGAGATCTTAATCCAGCTCGGTGTAATGTAATTATATTTGAATAAAATAATATAATCAGATTCTCCGAACATTTCACGACGTTTCCCGATGCGACTGATAATTGACGTTGCCTTGGAAATCTTTGCCACCTGGTGAACGTGCGATTAATATTTTTGACAATTTTATCGCTTTCTTCCGATTTATCGCAGCAGAACACGTATTATCGTATTTGCGCTAATTGAGTTTACAGAGAGAGAGAGAGAGAGAAAGAGAGCCTTCGGCTAATGCAACTTTTTCCGCATGTATCTTCTTTTTGTTGCGATCGGGAAGAACCTCAGGTGGAATATTCAGCATAGGAGAGGATCACCTAAGATAATTTTCAAACTTGTCGATTTTACATAACCTGCACCGTGAAATTTTGTAAACGAGAAAAAGAAAGAGCGCCGAAAAATAAAAAGCCGCCGGGAGAACACCTCTTCTGCCTCGGCTCCTCCAGAATTTTCCCTAAGGTAAGATCGACGCTAATTTTACTTTCTTTGGTGCATCTGTA